TATATATATATATATATATCCGAAAGTGTTTTCTGAGGTCGCTGGTCTGTTCCCACGAATTGCCAAGAGTAGATCTGGACTCTACTTATGGGGCGATTATTCCGATTCCAGTTGGGAGATTTACCTTAGTTTCGGAAGAGCTTGCACTCAGTGGGCCCCAGTAACATTTCAGTTCGAAATATGGTGGTCCGGCTGATGCGATGGATGTATAGCGATCCGTTGCACCTACGCAGCGAGGGCGGTGATTAAGCTATGTGATGATGGTTGATAGCTATGCTTGATAGCAGCAAGCCATGTAAAGACAGGCCGGAATGTATTCACGTAGCGTCCGCGAGAAGCTTGCACCGTCCCCTCCCCCGTCCCTTTCCTATGAAACTTATTACATGCATACAACTGTGCGCAAATATATGTCAACAATGAGCAATTCGCGACAATACTAAATGGCACATACATGTTACCAGTTTGGAAACATGCCATGCTGTTTCATAATTTACGGCATGCAAGAATTTTGCACGTCTGTGGTTCCATCGCTGGGTTTTAAAGGAAGGCCCCATCTTTAGGGCATGTTTCAAAAATGTGCACTGGTGACACCTCGGGACCACTTGCGTCTAATAGTAGCACTGGATAGTACCACTGCAGCACCATCAAAATATAACAGGGATGTGACTTTTAAGTATTTGTAGTACAGATTTCGCTGTCAATGCTCTGTAACGGCACTACACTTTTTTCCTTTTTTGGTGACCCTAGAATGTATCCCGAGTTCAAGGCAACTGTAATTGTCACGACCTTCGTCGTCATGACAACGACCTTCGTCATGACGATGGCAGAATGTGCTGAGCGCAGAAGTCAGCTGTCACGGGTCAGGGGTACCTCTCTTGAGCTGTTTTAGTCCGCACACTGCGGGCCTGCGGGCTCAAAATTCGTATGGCTCATGCAGGCTTGGCGTCATTCATGCCAGTAGAGGTGCCATGTCTCTACGGGTATCAATGACGTCAATAAATGACGTTAAATGGACGGCAAATGAACGTTTGTAGTGGCCAGTGTAGGCGGCAAGGGCCAGTTACCAAGAAGTGCATTAGTTGAAGTTTGAACCAACGCATAACTAAAGACCACTTGATACTCCATTCCCAAAATAAGGTGCGCTTCGAGAAGACCACTGTGGTAAATGCCGCAGGGGAAACATCAAAGCCATAGTGTAGCATTTCGTTGAATTCGTGGGACAATGGCCTCATGTTTGCTCATTTTTTTCTCGTAACGGGAATGTTCTACATTTGAAGGAACTGAAGCAAGCATTAGAGATAAAAAAGCTCGCTTACAGCTATCGGTTACGTGGTGGCAAATACTGCTGTAGGCAACACAATATCTCAAGTAAATATGCTCCTTGATGCGTTGTAGATTCGGAGCTTCTTGTACGTGGGAGGAGTACTTACTCATTGCTTGTTTACTTAGTCATTACCTCGACTCCTCTCCTTTTCTCTCCCGCACTCCCCTCGTCTACTGCTTTGCTCTACTCACACGTTATTTTCTTTTCTAGCCTGTAGTCTTCCTCTGCTTTTTTTTTGGGGGGGGGGGAGGGGAACGAACGTCTCTTTACCTGATCTCTCTAACTACCATCATATTACTGGTGGAATTGCCGTCACATTCGTGTATTCGTAAGTTCAGCATGGAGCCTCTGTTTTCATGTTGGGATTCCCTTCTAAGTGGGCTAGGTGAGCGTAATGGCGTATTCAGAATCTGACGTCTCAGCGTCGACAGGCCCGCGCTGATTGCCCCAGGGGAAGGCAATAGTTTTAGCTGAGACACAGGCCTGAACCCCACAATTTCCCGCATGTGGTCGCCGGGTGAACGCCTTCCCAGCTGATCCGCGGCATCCTCGCGCATCTGCAGTTTGGTTTGGCGTGACACTGTGCGTGGTCTTCGGATTTACCATTGACCTAGGGATCGGCAGGCAAAGTCAGGCTCGTTGCTGCGCCTCTTTGATTTTTGAACGCCGCTTTAGCCGCGTTAAGGCCTCGCCTCCACACGCGCCAGGGCCTGAGCTCCTGCAGCCCACCACCTACGCTTCTTGATGTTCGTCCACTTGTTCAGTCTGGGGGACATGTTTCTCCTAAAGGCTGTGGCCCTCGCCTACCTACGTTTATGGATGTCCCTCGACCTGGATTTAGAGGTGCTCCTGCCACTGCTTGAGAGCATGCGTAGGGCTTGAGGGCATCTTTATGTGTACAGGGTGTCCTACTATCGGGGCTGAACGTCGCTCACTCACCTGGGCTAAGGAACATGACTCTATTTTGGTTTGTTACGCCCGTCTCTCGGCTTTTGGTAACACTTGCACCTTAATCGAACAAAAGGTGCCCGTACTTGCAAGTGCTTTCTCCCCACCTATGTTGTGCCGCTGACTCCCGTCATTTTTGTCATGGCCCAATCCCTGAGAGTCGCTTATTGATGTTGTATTGCATTGCGCAGCAATTTGTGTTTTCATATGTAGATCGGATTTGGGTGCTTTCGATTCAGATACATTATTGTTGGGCATTGGTACGTCCTGATACGCCGATAAAGGTTTGAAGTTGAGTTGTTTTGACTCCATTAAGTGGTAAGTGGACATTGGCACGTTACAGCCTTTTCCTCGTTGTGAGCAGTCAGCCGGGACCAGGCCGTGCCGCCATCTGGGATGTTTCTGTGATGTTCCTCGCATTCATTTTCGCCCCAGTACAGCTGTCACGCGATGATCACGATAGGTTGGCTCCCAGCTCACCGCTGTGCCTGGCCGGCCGGCCGCTGTGCCCGACTAGCCGGCCGTTGTGCCGGAGTGGCCGTTGTGTGTCCGTTGAGTGGCCGTGGCTCGCTGTGCTGGAGTGGCCGACTGCTGTACCTGACTGGCTGGCGGCTGTGCCTGACTGGTCGACTGTTGCGCCTGACTGGCCGGCCGCTGGGTCTGACTGGCCGGCCGTTGCGTCTGACTGGCTGGCCATTATGTCGGACTGGCTGTCCTTTGTGCCGGACTGGCCGGCCGCTGTGCCTGACTGGCCGGCCGTTGTGCCTGATTGGCTGGCTGTTGTACCGGACCGCCGGCCGTCGCTCGGCCGTCCGAAAGTGCCACGCGCGATCAATGCACGCCTCGGCGCGTTTGCGTGCTGACCGCGAGGACTTCCCAGTCGATGACGATCCGGGCAATGTTATGAACAAAGGCTGGTTCTTTCGACGCCTCCACCGTGTTCCATCTGTGTGCGGTAAAACATCAGTCAGAACAAGGACGCATATGCTGTGCGCTCAAAGCCCTGCTTCTCGTAATCGATGCGTCATCGCTGGCATCCCGCGTGATGCGCCAGTGAACCTCTCGCTGGGCCACTTTCGAGTTGGACACGTGCGGCGGGACGCGCGCAGACTGGCCGCCATGCCAGACAGCAGTGCGGCCCCGCGGCGGCGCACCAGTCGGCTGCATTGTGCGGTCGGGAACGAGCGAGCCGGTAACTGATGTGAGAGTTGTTAGTTGCTATGGAGATGATGCCAGAAGATAAGCTGAGTTGGCCATCTTTGGCAGCCGACGAGCACAACTTTTATAAATGCGTTGGAAAGTGTACCTTTCGTGGACAGTCAGGAGGTGGAGGTCAGCTGATGCAGCTTTCGGGCACTAATCCGTAGCTAGTTTGCTAGAAAAATAGCTTACCATGACTTCGGTAAGGCTTGGCAGTCGTAGTCGTGGCCATGGGTGAATTTCCAATAATTTATGGGATTTGCAGTCGCCGATAAAATCGCACAAAATCGCAAATACTAATATTTGGGAATATTGGTCGCAATAAACAGGGCTATACGCCTGTGTGATTTCCATGACCCTATTTGCCTTAGCTTAGGCCACAGCACCGCATTGGAGATGGGTGTCAGAGAAGTTGGCGCCGGCCTCTTCGCGGTCGATGGCTGGCTCCCCTGCAGTCGGGAAGTTTTCAGATCCGTTGGCCGGCCGCAGGTGGCACGTTGGCCTACACCGTGCCGTTGGTTTCCCGCCCTCGTCTGGGCTGGTTACAGAGGTTTTATTTCCAACTAAACAAAGCCCCACACGGGTGTATGTGTGGTTTGTGCACGAGAGGACGTGGCCGCACGTGCGCGTCGACTCACGTTTTTTATGTGATGTCCATTTTCTCCTGCATCATGCGACAGTTGCGTCCCGTCGCTGTGGCGCTGGGTCGCTATGACCTAAACACGGCTTCTCATCCGGCGCGTTTCAGCATATTGTGCAAGTTGAATTTCACGTTTTCTGTATTAATACGGCGGGAAAGCAAAATCGTAGTGATGTTGGATTGTTACGGGAAATGCCGGATCAGGCTGCTTGCATGCAAATATTTGGTAACTTAGACCGCAGATTTTAAAGAAGTGAGGGTCTTGTTGCTGGAAACCGCATGAACATGCGATCGGCGGTTGCAAAGATAATAACGTCCAAAAACGGGACAGCCCGGCAGGGCAGGGCCGCTGAAGTGGGATATCTCATAATTCAAGTAAGACTCTTGGCCCTTCGGCCCGCCACTAACCCGTATCCGAGACGTAATAACCTCTCCTCTCTCGAACACGTGCTGACGATGTGGGAGGCGCGTCCAGTCGCGCCAGTCATCTTCCCGGGCCTGGCTGGCTGTTGTCCCGCACAGTCGGATCGCTCCCGGAAAATTGCTTTTAACGAACGGCTGTGTTCTGCATAATGTCACGTGACATTGCTATGCCCAGCGTGTTTATGCTTGGATGGAGATGCTTCCGGAAGACTTCATCAGCTCCGCATCCATTTTTTTGCAGCTTCTGGCAATAACATTCAAAACTGACAAGCGACCGAAGGTGCACGGCCTGTAGCCAACATAAAGGCTTAATTCGATAAGGGATCATTCGATAGCTACGCGTGGGGACGTGTTTGAAGTGGCATTTATTCATATTCACATGATATAGAAGAAATGCTGACGAGACTTCGCCGTAGTCGGGTTCTGCTTTCAATCTCTGTCTAAACTTTGTTTCTACCATTACAGAACATTTTGGTAACTGAACGGCCAGATCTCTCAACTCGTCAACATGGGGAAGGACTATTACAAGGCCCTCGGCATCGGTCGAAACGCCACAGATGAGGAGATCCGGAAGGCATACCGCAAGATGGCGCTCAAACACCATCCGGACAAGAACAAGACGCCCGGCGCCGAGGAGAAATTCAAGGATATCGCCGAGGCGTACGAGGTGCTCAGCGACAAAAAGAAGAAGGACGTGTATGACCGTTACGGCGAGGAAGGACTCAAGGGCAACATGGGCGGCGGCGGTGGCGGCGGCGCCCCCAACTTCACCTACACCTTCCACGGCGACCCGCGCGCCACATTCGAACAGTTCTTCGGCACGAAAAACCCGTTCGAGTCGTTCTTCGCGTCGGGCATGGGCCCGGGCGGCGGCCTAGGTGGGCGCGTGTTCTTCGACGAGGAGATGGAGGACGGCGGCGTGCCGCTCTTCGGCATGGGCTCGACGCGGCCCGGCGCTTTCCGCTCGCAGTCCTTCAACACGGGCCCGACCAAGCCGCGCACCAAGCAGCAGGACCCGGCCGTCGAGCACGACCTCTACGTGACGCTCGACGACATCGCGCGCGGCTGCACCAAGAAGATGAAGATCTCGCGCAAGGTGATGAACCCGGACGGCGTGACGTCACGACGCGAGGACAAGGTGCTCACCATCAACGTCAAGCCCGGCTGGAAGGCCGGCACGCGCATCACCTTCCAGCGCGAGGGTGACCAGGGCCAGGGCAAGATCCCGGCCGATATCGTCTTCATCATCCGCGACAAGCCACACCCGCTGTTCAAGCGCGAAGGCAGCGACATCCGGTACGTTTGCAAGATTAGCCTGCGCGAGTCGCTGTGCGGCACCGTTGTGGAGATCCCGGTGCTGCACGGGGAGGGCGTGCCGCTGGACCTGACCCGCGAGATCGTCAAGCCGAAGACGACCAAGCGGCTGCAGGGCCGCGGTCTGCCACACCCCAAGGAGCCGAGCCGGCGCGGCGACCTCATCGTCACGTTCGACATCAAGTTCCCGGAGGTGCTGAGCACCAGCGCCAAGGAGATCCTCAGCAGTGTGATATGACTGGCGGACCACTACCTGTGGAGACCGTACTTCGCGGCCGTGAGTGGCGCGCTCTATAGCCACGAAGGGCGCGACGGCGACGGCGAGAGCGACGGCAACGACACCGACGTCTGGTGAGCATGCCGACCGTGACGCGGCCGCGGCTCCACCGGGCGCGTTGTAGTGCCAGCCACCGCTCACGCTGGCGGGGGGCCGGCCGCGCCCGCCGGCCGCCCCAGCACCATATCGCCATCATCGCGGCGGCGGCACGGCGTGGGCGCCGGCCTGGCCGTGCGGCCGCCGCCTTTTACGGCGCCGGCCGGGCCGCGCGCCGCGCACGCCGCTCGATCGTGTCTTCCACGCCGGACCGTCCAGCACCGCTCGGGGCCGGACGGGCCGACCAGGGGCGCCGCCGCCGCCACGCAGACCGGCCAATGGCGCCGAAAGCACCCAACTCTGTGTTTTTATGTGAATCTATTGCGTAGATATTTAACTCGTGACCGGTTGTTGGCTTGTGCAAGGCTCGATCAGTTGTGAGATGACTTCGGGTATGAGACCTGCCATAAACGCTTCATTCGTGCCTCGGTGCTATACGGACGTCGTTACCTAACTTGTGAAAATGATATGCGAAGGCTGTGTGACTTACGTATTAAATATATTCGGTATGACTACGGCGTGTGTGTGGCCGCGGCGAGACGGGCCGGCGGCCGGGTGGGCGGCCGCGCGCCGTATTTGGAGTGTGGGCCACGGCCATGTGTGTCGACCGGAAGCGACCTAACCGGTCGCGCCCTTCGCCAACCCGGAAGCGCACGAGCGGGAGAGAGGGGCGAGGTCTGCACCAGCCTGACCTAGAATGGACCAGGTGAGGCGCGCCAGCGCACCATCGTCACTGCCGGTGGTCCGATTGGGCCGGAGGTCCCGCGTGCGTGGCGCCCAGCGGACGCCAGTACCGGCTGGAATTCAATGTCAATGCGTGCAGATCAATACTGAGGCGTACAGGCTGTTCGTTGACGCACTGCCTTGTTCTGTTGCATCAAAGACGTGAGCTGGTGTTTCACAATACCGTCTTTTGAATGTTGGATCCCTGAATGGCTGTCTTGTCCCCAGCGATCACGTGTCTACTAACCTGATTTCACCAGGCGGCGTGTGTGAATGGCAAGCTGGTCGTGCACCACGTCTTAAAGGCTATTTCGCCACATTCGGTTACGTCGTACAGACTATGGTTCCGTGGCTCATCTAAAGCTTGCAGATTATAGATATCCGGTGATTCCGTAACGCAGCGGGACTATGGACGATTCTCTCGCACAGAATATGCTCATAGCTGGCCTTTTAATAACGAACTTTTCTCCAAGAGTGCGGTGGGGATAATTGTTTTCACACAGTTGCCTCTGCGGCAATTCTGCGTTATCTTGGGGCGAGCCTATTGCATGCATGTCGTTGATAACGGGGGGAATTTCCCATGGATGCCAATGGGTTCCATTCTGCATTGTTATCACTGCCTCGTTGTTTGTTTATTTGTTTGTTGTTTGTTATTATTCCCGCAACATGGCTGGCACGTGTGATTCGTGGTACGATGACTTGTCCGGTTCGTAATGACCGCGGCGGCATGCGCGCACGCTCACGCCGCCGTCTCTCCAGTCTCGCGCGTGGTATGGGTGACGCGTGCTGTTCCCACTCCCGGCTTGTAGTCTGGCGTTTGACTGCGTTTTGTGCTCTGCAGGGGCGCGCGCCAGGCCGCCGCACACCGCCCGCGGCTGCGGGGCGGCGCGCTCCTCCGGCCGCCCCTCCCCACCCGCAGCCGCCGCACACCGCCCGCGGCTGTGGGGCGGCGCGCTCCTCCGGCCGCCCCCCCCCCCCCCCCCCACCCGCAGCCGCCGCACGCCGCCCGCGGCTGCGGGGCGGCGCGCTCCTCCGGCCGCCCCTCCCCACCCGCAGCCCGCCGCACACCGCTCGCGGCTGTGGGCGGCGCGCTCCTCCGGCCGCCCCTCCCCACCCGCAGCCGCCGCACACCGCCCGCGGCTGCGGGGCGGCGCGCTCCTCCGGCCGCCCCTCCCCACCCGCCGCCGCCGCTCTCCGGGGCCAACGTCGACAGCCGACCCAAGGCGATGACTCACGGCCGGCTCGGCACGCGCCGCCCGTCGGCATCAGGTGCGCGTGCGGCGGCCGGCACTGCCCGGCTCCGGCCAGCGCTCGAGCCGGGCGCGACTCCTCTCGGCGGTGGTGGGAGGGGTCTCCGGGATGGCTGTTGTGGTGGCTGTGGTGGCTGCTGTTGTGGCCACCATAGCGGCCCAGTTGGAGAGTGCCGTTGCGAAGTCGGATCACGTTCGTTGCGTTCGTGGTGCCGCTCCGAATTTGGCGGTGACGTCTCAGCGGCTTTCGCTGAGAGAACGGAGCGGCGTGCCTACGTACGTACGCCGTTCTGGACTGGGGCAGCTGAACATCGCAGATCAATCCCAGCAGCGTACTCCACAGGTCGTCTTAGACGCTCTGGTCAGCAGAATTAGCGCAGCAAACCTTTCGCTATGCCGAGCTTGCCCAACATAGCATCGCAGTTATCTTGTCGTCGGCGACGCTACGCGACCTCTATGCGCTGTGCGGCATGGCTGTGTAGGGCACTGGAATAAGTCGCCCTCAATACGCCGCCCTGACAGCGTCATTAAGCCAGAGCGCAGCTGAGTCGCCCTTGGTATGGTTGCGATAGCACAAGTACTCGGCTGCCACTCGGCTCATCAGATCCATGACAGAGGCCAGACACCGTACACACATAGTGGTCATGCCCCACTTGTGGGAGGCGCAGGTCTGGGCCGGCTGCAAAAGGTGATGACCTCACGGTGCTCTGGCGATTGCGCCCGTGGCGCCGGCGCTGCCAAGAATCACCATCCCAGCCTGAAAGATTGACTCTCGATGGGTCGGAACGAGCTATATCACCTGGGGGACGTTTTAATCAGCGATCTCGCAGCGCCCGCTCGGCATGATGGGGCCAGCTCACGCCGGCGCCCACCTTTTGGGCGGCGGCGGAGACGGCCTCGGTCCACCGCCGCTATAAATACGCCGTCGGGTGAAAATAGCATCCCCGTATGGTGGCGCCGCGGCGCCGTGTATTTCGGCGTCGGTGCGCTGGCGGCCCGCCCGCCGCTACTGGTTCGCTGACGCCTGCCGTCCGTCCGCCGGCAGCCGCAGAGGCGGCCTGGTTTCAGGCGCACCTCCTCGGATGTCCCGCTCCCTGCAGCGGCCTCCCTCGGCTGTCCCGCTCCCTGCAGCGGCCTCTCCCGGCCGTCCCGCTCCCTGCAGCGGCTTCCCTCGGCCGTCCCGCTCCCTCCGGCGGCCTCTCTCGGCCGTCTCGCTCCCTGCAGCGGCCTCCCTCGGCCGTCCCGCTCCCTGCAGCGGCCTCCCTCGGCTGTCCCGCTCCCTGCAGCGGCCTCCCTCGGCCGTCCCGCTCCCTGCAGCGGCCTCCCTCGGCCGTCCCGCTCCCTGCAGCGGCCTCTCCCGGCCGTCCCGCTCCCCGCAGCGGCCTCCCTCGGCCGTCCCGCTCCCTGCAGCGGCCTCCCTCGGCCGTCCCGCTCCCTGCAGCGGCCTCTCCCGGCCGTCCCGCTCCCTGCGGCACCCTCCCTCGGCTGTCCCGCTCCCTCCGGCGGCTTCCCTCGGCCGTCCCGCTTCCTGCAGCAGCCTCTCCCGGCCGTCCCGCTCCCTGCAACAGCCTCCCTCGGCCGTCCCGCTGCCTGCAGCGGCTTCCCTCGACTGTCCCGCTCCCTCCGGCGGCCTCCCTCGGCTGTCCCGCTCCCTTCGGTGGCCTCCTTCAGCTGTCCCGCTCCCTGCAGCGGCATCCCTCGGCCGTCCCGCTCCCTGCGGCGGCATCCCTCGGCCGTCCCGCTCCCTGCGGCGGCCTCCCTCGGCTGTCCCCGCGGCTCCGTCCCGCCGCGTCGCATGTGGGATGGACGTCTCCCGCGGCTGGAGTATCCCCCAAATTCGGGGACTCCTACGTGAGCAATCCACAGAATGTGGGGGACACCTCGCTGGGCTTGACGCCTAACTAGCGATGCCCTTCGAAGAATGCGGACGGTTAGTAACATGTAACATGTAATGCGGACGGTTAGTAACATGTAACATGTAATGCGGACGGTTAGTAACATGTAACATGTAATGCGGACGGTTAGTAACATGTAACATGTAATGCGGACGGTTAGTAACATGTAATGCACGTACTGTCCATTACACCATCTGAGTTCATATGTTTGTTTTGAGCTGGCCGAGCATTGGCTTGGCTATTTTTCGATGGGGGTTAACCTCGGGCTACAAATACCAAATTTTACTCTTCCAGTAACGACGTCGTCAACACTAGGTCATCCCCTTTAAATACCAGCCCTAATGTGTAGATATGTTAAGTCTGCACACGTGGTCAGGATCCACGACTGCTTTTCTATGACTGGATATACTGTGTACTGATCCGTTAGCGTTTGAGATGAACTGCCGCATCTGGCTGTTGTCACAGAAATAACGAACACTTGATGAGCTGGGCTAGTTATTACTGTGAGCACGTGGCATGGGAAAGTGTGCCTAGGTCACACGAAGCATACAAAAGACAAGTTATATTTATCAGATCTCAACCTCTCAAATGCGTTTAAAGTTCCTCACGGACATTCTAAAGCTGAGTGCTATATGAACTTCTTTTAAAAAGATAAGGTACACCACAAAATGTTTGAGTTGCATTATTCCGCAGCCGGATTAGAATTAAGATCACAAAAACTATGTTCTTAACACCTTTAAAGCACGAACACTGCATTACTGCGGATGCCAACGTTTTGGCGCCCTTTTCACCGCCACATCGGCGGTTCACCTATGCGTGTGCGCCCCAGCCCTTCCGTGTTGGCTTGACAAGAAGCAGGGAGCACCCACGCGGAAGTGGCAATATCCCAATTAGGATCATTGTGGACTGTGTCCAGTGCCCACCCATGCAGCCGTCAGCCCAGATGGACCCTGCAGCAAGTCGACTGGGCAACCCACCTTCAAGAATATACTGGCCGTGGGACTAGATGGGGCGAGTGAAGACCACCAGTCAAACACCACTTTGTCGTCATTCCTCACAAATGCCAATCTTCCAACGCAACAGTACAAACGATGACTTTTTTAAAGTCATCAGTCATCAGTCTTCAGTCGAAAAGCTGACGCTGCCAAAGACAGCCTCCGCCACGTAAAGTATCGGTGCACAGCTGGGATAGCCCACGCGCGGTCCTCTCTCCTCGCGCGTAGGAAAGAATGTTCGCCATTTCCCAGCGCTCATCACCGGCTGCTGACCTTGTTGCATACAAGCTTGCAAGGGTCAGGACAAAACGTACGATACCAGGTGGGGTTCTCGATGCGTTACTGTATATGGCTTAAATCGGTCACGCCTTTGACCAGTTTGAAGAAAACGGCGTCATTGGCGTCATCAACTGTTCTTTTAGCGTGCGTTGCAATATATTGCTTTGGTAGTCTTTCCTCGTTCTATTTTTCAGAAAATGACGTCTGTAATATCAAATTGAAAGCAGCATCGTCATGCGATTGGAAGGGAATGACAAACGTTTGTAGTTTAGAAATTCATGCTGGCTAACAGCCATTTTTATTTCTGGAATTATGTACCGACTCTGGGACTGCATGGATCAGATGATATTGCGTCACTCTCTCCGTGATACAT